TCGATGAGCATGTGTCTTGGGCTTCAGAGTATGACTCAGAAAAGTTGTCGGAAGAAATTTCCAGAGGGAGAGATGAAAGTTCCGATGTCTACTTGGTTTCCTACAACGAACTTTTGGATGAGTACGGGTTTGCAAAACACCGGGCAAGATTCATCCTACACCAATTCTTGTTTAGGGAGTTGCATCTTCCCGACTCGGTTCCTTATCGGCATATCAAACGTGTGACCGCTTTCGGAGATGCGGCCACTGTTAAGTTGACCTCGGAAGACTCAACAAGGACAATCAAGGAATTAGGGAATGTCATCAAGTCAGCGACAGCAGATATTGTTGACGTCCTCAATGCCGAGGACCAGAGGTTGGGACCGATACTTGCAGCTGAAGATGAGAAGTTGAAAGGAAGGAGATGTCTCTCTGTTCTTTACCAGGAGATCAGATCCATGAACATGCGGGTGGAACAGTACTCGCAGCTCTATGGTGTAGAGAAGCTCTTCAGGCACGCGGAGATCCGAATGTCTGATGCAATGTCCAAGACATTGAAAAAGCAACACTCCAGCAGATCTGTGGATCAGACAGCTCTAAAGAAAACCTGCGGAGTTTTTGCAGAAGATTCATAGAATCATATGTCGAAAGAAACAAATGCTGGCCAGTTATCGATGAAGCATGTCTCCCCAACCTCCATCCTACACTCAGAACAGCGGTTGAATCAAAGGCGGTGTTCTTTCCCGAGAGTCTCCGAAGCCTGCCTAACATCTCTTTCTCTGAAATCAGATTTGGGAAGACCATAGATGTTGATCCGGTGTTCGATATGTCGGTCCTTCTAGACGACAAAGGTGCAGGTGTTGCGGCAAGCCAGATTCCAGGATTGTACAAGTCGTGGATAGAGAAACTTGAACCTTTCGACGTGGACTCGACCCGACGCCTTGTGCTTGAATTGTTGAAAGAAGAGGACCTGGATCCTGAGTTCATCTGCACTCTTTTCGCAACAGGTCTTGCGCCAGACGATTGGTATTCAATCCTTCTCCGTGCGAAGGAGCTTGAATACAAGCACGAAGCAAGGCTCTTCGGGATTCAACATCCTATGTTGAGGACCTATTTTGCAAAGACCGAGCGAGACATTGCAGAGACTATCCTTCCATACAACTGGACGTTGAATACTCCACGGGCTCTGTGTGGTTGGGGAACAGTCTCGTGGCAAGTGCTACCAGGGATGTTGACTCGGACACCGAAGACCGCAAGATTGTCTGGAACTTGAAAGGCAACAACAGGGCCTGGGTTGACCTGCAGAAGCTGGCGATGGAGACGGAGCTCTCGGTCGACGACTTGCAGAGGGCTTTGGAGGACACCAAGCGGTGACCCCTCAAGCAGGCAATCCGAGAAATGGAATTCGAGCACGCCAAGCTTGCTCGGGAATTCGATGCTTCAGATGATGGGGGTGGGGTAGGGTTTGTGCAGCCTCCTTCGCCACTCCGACTCGGCAAGCCTGACTTAGTCACGCTACCTACAAATCGTCTGCCTCGAGACAGCGGCCCTCGGGATCAAGATGATCCGTCGGGCTTTCTCGAACTCAACATTTTTGGCTGGAGCATTGAGGGTGCACCACTTGATTGTTTAGGGGAGGCACTCTCTGCTCACGCCGGCAGGAAGGTCCACACTGAGGACCTCTTTTTGATCCAAGAACTCTCGCGCAGAAAGCTCGGATGGTCGGTTTCACCACAAGGTCGGTTGCAGGAAGTCTCTCATCGCAGCAAGCAGCAGTGGAGAGGGGATGGGTTGGTCTTTGACCCGTGGCATGGACGGTCACGAGTCGTCGAGCAGCGGGAAAAGGAGTGTGGTTCAAAGTCAAGCACCTTCGAAGCTCGTCGGAACTTTGGGTTGGGAGCTTCCATTTCACTCCAGGGGTTACGCAGTTGGAGTATGCAAGTGAACTTGAAGGGTTTCTCCAGAAAAAGCCGAGTGACAGTCTACCAGTCGTCGTTCAGGGGGATGCTAACGCTGCCTTTTGTTGGGACACGCGTGAAGGGCACCAAGTCGCGGCTGTCAGCCGCTGTGGCAAGTCGACCCTCCTGCTCAGTTCGCTCGAGGAACGAGGCTTGCTCCCAGCGGAGCCGATTCCGCAACACCGGCACCTACCGACGAGCCGGCCCAGGCAAGCTGATCGGCAGGGACACCAGATTGATTTGTTCGCAACACAAAGGGTTTCAGTTTCCTGCTACGTCTCCGGCACGGACCATGAGCTCCTCCATGGTAAGTTCAAGATCAGGGTTTCTAAGGGTTTCACGAGACATGCAACAGGCCCCAGAGTGTGGAAAGGAGGGATTGAAAGGGTCACACATCTCGATCAGGCTGAGCTTGAGAAGTTAGCCAGATCCTGCACTCAGCCCCGCCCTAGCCGTGCTTATCGTGACCCACCGGAAGTCAAGCAACTCTTGCGTAGGGCAAAGCTCACCAAATCCAGGGAATCTTGGAAAGCAGCGCTTGCAGGGCGACGGCGAGCCAGGCGGGATTGGGAAACCCAGCGACTTCAACGTGCGCTTGAAGGGGATTGGCAGGCCTACAGGGCAGCAGGCAATGCAATACAGGGTGGGAGCTGGGTTTCGCTGAAGCTCAAACACGTGATCCACACGATGTCATGCACGACCACCTCTCGGCGATTTATCAGGGAGAAGGGTCAGGGTTGTCTCCCATCGAGCCTCTACAAGGTTCCTTCCGGGCCTTCACTGCTGAGGAGCTTACGATAGCACTTGGTCAACTGAAGACTGGGAAGTCGGTAGGGAAGGACTTGACTTCTACGGAATTTCTGAGGGCCTTGGTCACGGTCGATGGAGGGCAGCAACATCTACTTGAATTCCTCAACGGGGTCCTTGTCCGCCAGGTGGTGCCGCCAGCCTGGAACCAGCCCTTGCTGATACTTCTACCCAAAGTAGGGTGTCCGGTGGGGCCCTAAAAGAAGTTCGTCCCATTGCGTTGGGGTGCTCCACCTCCAAGCTTTTCGCCAGACTGATTACGAACAGGGTCATAGGGTTGCTGGATCACAGGAGCCCAGCTCAATGCGCCGGCAGGCAGCGCCAACCATCCGATGTCATGTACACCTTGGGGCGCGTGTTCCACTTGGAGCAGGAGTGGCGTAGGGGGCTGGTCGCGGTCAAGATAGATGTCAGCAAAGCTTTTGACACAGTAAACCGCGAGAAGTTGCTCACGAGGCTTGTTTCGCGACTAGGGGACACCATCGAATTCAGAGCCATCCGAGCAGTCCGAGCACTCCTCGTTGACACCGAGGCCACCTTACAATCAGCCTGGGGCACCAGTTCATTCGTGATGAAATCCGGCATTAAGCAGGGAGCAATCGAATCACCCATCCTTTTCAGTTTCCTGATGGATGTGGCGTTGATTGATACTGCTCGCGATTGTGGTTGGCAACGGCGGGTTAAACTGTTCCCTGAGCTCTTGCACGAGGAACTTCTTTTCATGGACGACGGGGTCTTGTGGGGTTGGGGCTGCACCGAAGTTGGTCGTCGACTACAGGAGTTTGCCAGGACCCTTAGAGGCTACGGACTGGAGCTCAACATGGGTAAATGTCGGTTGTGCTGTTCACCGTGGGCAACAGGAGAATCCGCTATGGTACTTGACGGGGCCCGACTCGAACCGCTTCCCGACTTGGAAGTCATGGGGATCAAATTCAGGTTTGGGGCTTCAACGGCTGAACTGATACAGCCCCTCCTTGCGAGGGCCAGAGCCAAATTCTGGAGCATCAAGCACCTCCTTCGCTGCCAGGCACCGGTTGCTGCCCGAACTAGGTTGATGGACAAGGTTGTCTCCAACACGGCATTGTGGTGCATTGCTGCCTTCCCCCCGGAATGCAACAGCCTTAAGTTGGTCAACACTTTCCAGAATATGCTTATGGGGTGGTTGCTGAAGTTGGGGAAGAGGGAGTCTGAAAGCTGGCTGGAATTTCGGAGACGGCTTGTTCGATCTTCTAGGGCGGCACTTAACAACTCCAATGTCCGAAGATGGAGCACCAGCTGGTTAGAGAAATGGTGGAACTACGCAGGGCACAGGGTCAGAGGGCTATTGCATGCACACCCACCAATCAGTTCCCTCTTCGAAGATTTCAGAACCCTCAGCTGGTGGAGACAACAACAGAGCCACCCTTGTGGTGTGAGGCACCCTGGCCAGTTCTACCCCCGACTCACGCTGCTGGAGATGCGGATGGACGAAGCGTGTGGGGGGCCCTGGAGACAACACACGCATGACAGAAAGGGTTGGAAGGAACTCGGCAAAGCTTGGATCCGACAGGAAGACTTAATTACCGTGGTGCTCAGGGTTTCAGCTCAGCATTCTGGATGTCGAGGGTTAAGGTTCGCGCTGACCTCGTCTGCTAACACTGCCTGGGGTTAGGGTCAGGGCAAGGGACACGCTGAATGACATTGCAAATGGACGAGCGCTGTCCGTAGTTCGTGGCCCGAACCGCACCTCGGACATTGTCTTTCGTTGGAGTTTTCGTGATGACCTCCAACATGGCGGCTCCGGCCCTCCTTCGTGAACCGACCGGATGCCGAAATCGACGACACCGAGCTGGCCGACCTCCTCTTCTTTTCCTGATGCCGTATCTCCCCTTCTTGTTCTTCGTGCTCCTCCCCGCATTCGCACAACCACTTGATGCCTTCGACGACTGGAGGCCGAGCTGGATGTTAAGGGCCATTGAAAAACTCCAAGAGCTTATGAATGATGGCTCTGACGCCGCGGCCCTCATCCAAGCGGCCCGGACAATCGCTCAATCCAGGATGGATGCCGGCTACGGGACCTTTGCCAGTGGCCTACGAAGTCGGCGCACTCAGCTCCACGGACAACCTTGGCCCATTTACTGAGGCAGAGAAACTCTGGGTGGTTTACATGGAGGAGGCCGCCTTGGTTGACTTCATGGAGACACACTTCCCGGAAAGCACCGGGTACACCTCTCGACTGGGGGGAGCTTCCCGGATTACCTGGAGCCCAACCCTGACATGGCCAGGGAGGATCTGCCTCGGTTCCACCACCTTCGTCAATGGACACCATGTCTGCAAAGGATGCTGCCAGCTGGGACCCGCCTTTCCTCTCAAGACCGTATGCAGCAGTGGAGACCACTTTATGAGGAATGGCTGCAGGACGGATGGGACCTTGCTGGTCAGGAATCTGCTGGCACGGATCCAGCGACGGGCTTCTTGGACTACATCGGGGCCACTGCGGAGGTTCTCCACCTGGTTGATGGACTACCACGACAAGAAGATCACGACTCACCCATGAACGAAGAGATCGCAGGGATAGGGTTTGATGCTTGGGCAGTCACAGCTGAAGAAAAACTCTTCGCCTTGTTCAGCCGGCCCCTCCAACCCGGCGAGCTCACACACAACCTCAATGACACCGAGAGTGGCAACATGGATGACGGGATGAGGGACCTCACAGCGACCTCCAGCTCGGACGTCGTCAGCCTGGTGAGCCGAAAGATTAACAAACGATGGCTAAAGAGCCCGAGCCGTCGCAGAAGACCGAGACCGTCAGCCCCAAGCTCGATCAGGGTCACGACCGAGACATGCAACCTCTCGGCCTGGACCGGACCTCGACGAAGGAGATCCACCGCAACAGGCACAGGTGGCCCCACCACTGGGGCAACTGGTTCTGGTCGGCCCGCTCCAAAGAAGCGGCCTGGACAGCCTCCGACTTCCCCCGAGGTTGGTGCGACTGCCACCGCCTCTGCTTCCGGGAGACCTCCAACGAGCAACCATGCTGAGGCCACGGGACCGTCGCCGCCGGCGCCTTTGACGATGCAAGAGGCCGTGACCAACTGGTTGATTTGGCTGAATGTGATGGACCTGGATGAAACACCGGCAAGGCTCCTGCCGCGGGACATTGAGCACCGCATCCTCGACAACTTCATGGACCTCTCCCCGAGTGACCAGCTAACTACGGCATTAGCCCTGACCAGTATGATCCAACAACTCATGGCCAGCATTGGGAGTATCCTTCAGGACGCGATTCGCCTTGCCTCCAGAAGCCGTAACAGAGCGACGGAAACTATTGAAGTGGAAGTCGAACCGGAGGAAGAGGATGATGAGGCGGGGATGATGCAAACAGGCATGTCATCATCGTGGTATGGAGTTCTTCGCGAACTCCGGCAAGCCTTTGGTGCTATGTCGAAAGGGGCCCTGCGGGCGAACATACGGTGGCTGCAGCGGCGTGTGCACCACAGATGCACCAACCACGCCGCGGGTTACTTGCTTGGGCATGCCACTGGTCGGGCTGGCGAACTGGTGGCGATGCTCAGTGCAGCGATGGCCGACACGGCTGAATTTGAGGGACAGGATGATGATGCGGTCTGCTGCACTACGTGGCCCTGCAATGGTGGGCAAAACTGGAACCGCACCTGCCAATCTCCAGCGGCTCCCTCTTGGCGGCAGGTGCAGCTGTTCCGAATGAAGACCCAGCCGCAATGCTGTTCCCAAAACCTATTCCTGAGGACATCACTGATGATGAAGGGCCGACCCTCATGGTCAATGACGGGATTATCCGAGGCCCGCCGGTGCCTGAGCCGGTCAATGGCCCTCCTCGCCATGACCACAGCCCCGCGGATACTGAACTTGGCCAGGCTGCGGAGGCAGCCGAAGCTGAGGCGGACCGCCTGCAACGAGAACGAGAACAAGCCGCACACGAACAAAGGGAGGCTGAGTTTAACCGGGAGATGGAAAGAATCTACGAAGAGCACAGGGCCAGCACCTACAGGGAGTGGGAGGAATGGGTCATGGCTGCTGAACTCTCGAGGCCAGCGAAACGGTCCCGAGGCGTGCTGCAGGTGGTGACCAAAACGGGCAACGAAGGTGAGCCTGGAACTTCGAGCTCCATACATGTGCCTCTGGACGAGACGGGGACAGGGACACTGGTGCTCAGCCTGGCACTTGTGGAACAGTCACCGGCCACACCATCTACACTTCCCGTACCGGGGCCAGACCTGTCGACGATATCGGCTGTGGACCCAGGTGATGCAGGAGTCCCGGGTGAACCTTCTGTTCCGCCTGGACAGCCCACGCTCATGTCAGAGGTTGCTGCCACGGAGTTCGATGACACCCACACCGTGTTGGCCAGTGGAGGGGGCCAATTGGACCCTCCGTTGGCTGCCCTGGACTTGATCTACACCAGGTGGGAGCAAGGTCTGATTAGCTCTGAGGAGGTGGCAGCACAATATGGGCATGAATTCCTCCACACTCTTCAAGTACAACGTCTCGCGTACTTTGATGGAGCTGTGTTCCACCAGCTACACGGGACCAATGCGGAGGAGGAGGGTGCCCACTCGGCGCCGTCTTCAGATAATGGTGACTGACAGGGTACAGGGCTAGCACAAGCACAGATGGTTGTATGCTGATCGATGCGGGTGAGCAATGAGGGTGGCATGTTCTGAGTGGCGAGCGCGTAAGTTGCTCGCCGCTCCACCTCCTGGCCGATGGCCTTATGCTAGCTCAACCAGTTGGGCAGACATAAAAAGGAGCTCAAAAAAAACCCTAAACCCTAAACCTTATGCCCTAAACCCGAAGCCTTAAACCCTAATCTCCTAAACCAGCTTAACTTAAACCCTAAACTCCCAAACCAGCTTAACTTAAACCCTAAACCAGCTTTTCGTTGTAGAGCTCGTCAAGCATGATCCCCTGAAGCCGGAACCTTCAACCCTAAACCGACTTTTGGCTTTACAGTAAACCCTATAAAGTTGGAAACCGGATTAAGGCCAAATACAGTTGATGATAAAAATCCTGCATGACCTCAAGGGCCCTAAACTACGGGAATTATGGTATATTCCTGTTATGGGTAATGCAGGATTTATATCATCAACCGCTAGTCTTAAGGATTGAGGTTATGAGGTTTCCAACTTTTGGGCTTCTGCTGTACGGGCTCGTCGAGCATGATCTGAGGAAGAGCTTGGGCATACATGTGGAGCTCCACAGCGAGGACCCTGGGCCGATCAGCACCTTGCCCCTAAGGGTCCTAATCCCATGAGCAACCCCCTTAGGGTTTAGGATTCATTGTTTAGGGTTTAAGGTTTCCATAAGGGTCCAAGTACCAAATCATCAAAGACTCTCTCCCAAATAGTGAGCTACATAACTACTATCCGAAATCTGCGTACCTAATTATTGGGTCATTTGGTCCCCTAGAATTCCTGATTTGCCGATACGGGATTGCAGGAACGGTCTCCGACATACATACCCGGAAGTAGGGTAGACGGCCTATCCGAGACATAGACCCTAAACTATACCCTAAACCCTAAAAACCCTTTACAAACCGGACGTAGGATAGGCCTCCGATACATAGACCCTGAACCCTAAACCCTAAAGACCCTAAGCCCTAAACGCCTAAACCCTAAAGACTCTAAACCCTAAACCCTTAAATCCTAAACCCTAAAGACCCTAAGCCCTAATCCCGCGCAGGTTGGTCGATCCTGGTCAGTCGACCCTCCGCAACAAACATCCCAAAGTAGAGCTCTCAATGGTTCCCCGTAAACCTTAAATCCAAGGGTAAAAGGAGGGACCCTTAATTGACAAAGACCCCTAGGTATATACCCTTAATATAGCCATTATACACCCATTATATAGCCCATTATAGGGTAGGGGTCCCATTAACGATGCCTCCTTTTCCCCTTTGATTAAAGGAACCCTGAAAGGAGCCTTAACGGAGCCCTTATAGGAAGGTTTTTTGATTTAGGATATTTTGGGGTTTAGGGCTTTCCTTGGTCATGGTAGGACAGTTTAGTGTGAGTTTAGTTTTCGAAGGATGAAGGTTCAGAGCTTTAGTTCAGGAGGGTTTTACGGTTTAGGGATGCTCTTCTGCAGTACAGTACGGTTTCGGGTTTGTGTGCAGGGCTTCCGGCTTCCGTTCCCGCTAAACCTGACATAGGAGCTTGAAGAAAGAACGACACGTCACTAATGGAACCTAGAACTGTGAGATTTTGGTTAAATGGACCCCCAATTCGAAAAGGGACCATAATTTTGACAACCGCCCACATGGAAGGAGACCTTGTCACTTGCATCCATCTCTGAGAGACTCAAGGTGCGGATCGGAGGTAAGGGTGTGGGCCTCGGGTTTAGGGTTTAGGGCGATTCAGAGGGTTCAGGGTTTAGGGCAATTCTGAGGGCGTGAAGGTTTGGATAGAGGTGCAGGGCTCGGTTGCGTATCCAAGCGGCTTGCTATACTGTTACTATGGCCGTGTTGGCTTCTGTAGGATACGTTTCCAATCTCTAAACACTAGACTCTAAGACTGTCCAAGAGCATACTACCTAACTATACAACTAATTCAGGTGCCTGCCTTGTTGTTGGAGGCCTAGGGATTTTGGAGAATCATGGGACCTAGCACACAAGTTTAAGGGTGCCTCAAACTGGGCCCGGGGTTCAAGTAACTATAAGTAGAAGTATAGTTACCTTAAATAATGCCCCTAGCTTCCAAGTCCCATGTAACCCTAAGGCTCCATGTACCCATATAGTAGATACTCAGGCCTTAAAGTACCTATATAGGGACCCCTTTAAGGCTTAAGTATCTACTATAAAGGTACATGGAGCCTAAAACCCTAAACCCTAAACCCTTATGATACCCTTTATAGAACCCTTAAAGGAACCCTTAAAGGGAACCCTATTAAGGGTACATGGAGCCTTTGGGTAAGCAGGCGCGCGGTTCAGAAGCATCGAAGCGCCAGCAGCAGAAGGCGTGCCTTGGCTTGGTCTCTGCTGCTTTTTCGGCTAGGATTTAGGTTCAGTTTCAATCTTGTGAGTTCTGACCACAAAACCCTAAGCCCCAAGCCCTTAAGCCTCACAATCCTATAAGCTTGTCTTCAACAGGGGTCTGGCACGGTGTCTTCCAGCCCTAAACCCCAAACCCTAAACCGTGGAGAAACACGAGGTTAGCCGAAAAGCCAGCATCCGAATCAGCTTCGGGTTGAGGTCATCGAGTACTATATAACGGCCTTCAGACCCCAATCTAGCACTAGGTGGGCCTTTGAGACATTTTAAATTTCCCCTTATTTGGCTTAATGGGACCCTATTTACGAATATTTTGTCAGAGGCTTTAAAAAGGGACAACCCAGAGCAGAGCCTAATGTGGGGGCCTTCATAGTTAGAATGGGGTTTTGGGGGGTCCTGGTTTCATGTTACAGTAGAATATACTCCCAAACCCTGTCTAATTATTAAGGCCCCTACATTAACTACCATAACCTACTTAAACCAAATATCTAAGGTTTCCAGGGTTACTTTTGTGTAGGATAGGTATTCAGGGCGCTTAGATCGAACTGAAGCTGCCCTTTTAAAGCCTATGCACGCTTGACAAATCTACGAACCCCGTGGGTTTAGGGTTTAGGGCTGGGGTTGGGAGGGATCCTTCGAAGCCGCCAATCCAAAGAGCTAGAGCCAACTACAGGGGCTTGAACAATGTAGGAGCCTGATTAAGAAACCCTGGGCGTTTTGCACAAAAAATAGTAGGATTCATATAAGGAACCTAATAAAGGCCCAAGGTTTCTAAATCAGGTTCTTACATTAGCGTTGGTAGAAGACGGTCCCCCAGCCCGAGAAACGTAGCGGAGCCGTACTTCATCAGGCCCACCCCATAGACCCTACCCTAAACCCTAAACCTTAAACCTCCAAGGAACCAGGAGCGCCAATGGTATCGGGAGAAGCACGGTCTGGATGAGGGGCAAAGTCACTAAATCACCCCGTGCTCTGCGATGTGAAGCTTTGAGCAGACCGCAAAAAGTTGCAGACCGGATGACCATGGCACTTAGTAAGTAGCAAGGCTTGGGAGGTAGGGTAGCTATACCTATACTTAAACAATGCTTCGAATCCCAACCAGTAGCCAAGGTAGTAAGCCCCATGATCCTCCGATTGCTTCAGGTTGATCGGGTTTGGATCCCCCTGTGCCCAGTGTATCCTAAGCCCAAATCCTGCGTGTATGGGGGGGCGGGTTGAGTAACTAAGTTGTATTATTGCCCTCTTCTAGCCCGAATATACTGTGGGCTTTATACTTCAACGCAGTACCTAAAGAAAAGTCGGACTTCACGGAGATACGATTCCGGTATTGAAGAATAATCTTGCCCGGCCTAGATTTGCGAAGGCCTGTATACGGGTGGTTGTCAAAAGTATGGTCCCGTTCTGGGTCCCTGAAAAGATACGGTGCCTACTATTTGGGGTACCCAGAAAGGGACCCTAGTTTTGACAACTACCCATATGGGAGTTTCCAAAAATGGGGGACGCTAATATAGTACCCTAAATAGTAGGATCCTTATGATAAGGACCCTTCAAAACTAAGGTACCATCATGTTCGGAAATTCCCATATGATTCCTGCCTCAGGCCGGCAGGTGCCCTCAAGCGAGGTCACCCCGAAAGCCTTTAAGCCTTTGTAAACCACCTACCTTTCTGGGGCTTCTTATTATGGTATCCGTATATATTCTTCCTTGAAAAAGGTAGGTTATTCCGGGTGAAGGTAAGCCCTAAGCCCAAAGCCCTAAACCCCAAACCTCAACGAACCCGAAACCTTTGACCTCCCAGCGGTATCCCGGTGCGCAGTGTGTGTGTGTGTGTGTGTGTCTGTGTGTTGTGTCTTGTGCGGGGGGGGTGCTTCTGTTTATATGAATTAAACATTGTCCAACTTAAGTGTTTAGGGTTTATGGGTGGAGGGCCTAAGAGCTACTAGGGAAACAAAAAAGTTTTATGCTTAAGGTTGAGGGGTGATCCGGAACCCTAAACCCTAAACCCTAAACCTAGGGAATCCGGAACAAACTACTAACCCCAAGCATAGCTCATTCGTCAAGAAATAATCGTCTCAGCGGATGTTCCTACACTCTAAACCCAACGGTTGATGATATAAATCCTGCTTTACCCATAAAAAGGAATTTACCATAATTCCCCATAACTTAGGGTCCTTAAGGTAATGCAGATTTGTATCATCAACCCACGAACCCTGCACCGCAGGATTTAGTGTCCAAGCTTCAAAGGCGTTGAGGGGTTTCAGGGATCCGAACATCCGGTTTAGGGGTTCAGGGTTTAGGGCTTTAGGGGTGTAGGGGTTCGGGGTTTATGGGTTAAGGTTTAGGGCTTATAGGGTTTCAGACCATAGCTTACAGTCCGGCAATTTAGCTCTAAACTTCCGCAGAGCCTCTGACTGCCACCAGGGTAGTTGTCAAAATTATGGTCCCTTCTTGGGTACCCTAAATAGTTGGTGCCGTACTATTTTAAGGACCCAAAAGGGAACCATAATTTTGCCAACCACCCATCAGACTTGCTCAAAGACAAGCGGTCTGTGACATTGGAGGGATGCGCAGATTGGGTTCCGGATGTGGGCGGCACAGTCG